AAATATTATTACAATTTAAAATAACTGTTTTCTATTTTAATATGTAATTTTTTCCAAATTCCTGTGATTGCTGAATGTTCAGTGGCCATTACTCCACTTTTCAGTGTCACATGATCTGTCAGAAATCATTCTAATATTCTGCTCTGCTGCTCAAGAAACATTTCTTATTATTATCAATGTTGAGCTGCTTTATATTTTTGTGGAAACAATTACACTTTTTTTCAGATTTATTTGATAAATGGAAAGTTCAGAGGAACTGCATTTATTTGCAAAAGAGACATAAATGTATTGACTGTCACTTTTGATCAATTTAATGCATCCTTGCTGAATGTCAAAACTGACTCCAAACAAATGATAGTGTGTATGTATATTATCTCTGTCAATGACCTGCTCTGTAGACAACAGCCTCTAAGACCACTAGTATCGATTGTGATGATGACGAATGTTATGTAACAATAGTGTTATTAATAGTGTGTTTGTGTTGAACGTGTAGATTGAGAAGGTTCTTCAGCAGGGAGAGATCGGGGATTGTTCTGAACCATACATGGTACTGAAGGAGAGTGATGCTCCTAAGGTAACCACTGAACACTTCTCTTTCTCTCTCATTGTTTGTGTACACTACATGGCCAAAAGTATGTTGACACCCCCTACTAATTATGAGATTTTGGCAAGGGTTGTGTCAACACCCCTGTATACAAAGAAAGAAATCATTCCCTGAGTCTGGTGGGGAAGAGCCCCTTCAAAACCCTGCATCCATGTGCCAATGTCTTGTGGAAAGCTTTCCCAAAAAAGTAGATTCATTATTTTGAATTCATACAAGCACATACAGTTGGTATGAGTTGTTTATGAGTGTCCACATACTTCTGGCCATAATTTAATCAATTCTTTCTCAAATGAATTTCAAACCTGCATTATTTCTCTAATGAGAAATACTGTAGTGAATAAAACCTCCTTCTTTTTTTCTGTGTCCATCAGAACAGAGATAAGGTGGAGAAGCTGAAGAATCAGGCGGAGGGGTTTTGTCAAAGGCTGGGCCGCTACAGGATGCCATTCGCCTTCGCCACGGTCAACATCATGAGTGCCATCAGCTCCACACTGGAGCGAGACACAAGTGACACAGACAGTATCAATGGTGAGATACTGAATAGATGAACACCATTGGTCTGTTAACATAATGCATCACACACCAAAAAAATAAGTAAATCCATAATTATGTTCAATTTTGATTACTCCTAGGCAGGAGCAGCATGGAAAAGAAGGGATTGCCCAGACGTAACTCCGACAGATTCAGTATTATGGAGGACAACTATATCCTGTCTGGCTTCAAACCAGCTTTTACCACGTGCACATTCATCAAGCAGGTATTGCTTGCAGAATTCATAGCAAATCGAATATTCAACAAAAAATGTAGATGGGAATGAATTTTTTTTGGTTCATTCTGAGATTTGGTGTCGGTAAGATTTTGTAATGTTTTTGAAAAAAGTAAAACCAGTAGTACTGTAAAATATCATTACAATTTATAAAATATTTTTAATTTAATATATTTTAAAATGTATTTATTCCTATGATGGCAAAGCTGAATTTTCAGCAGCCATTACT